GACGGGCATGGTGCTCCTCCAGCGCAGACTAACATGAAGCAGGACGCTTCCTCAAAGTCCTGCCTCAGAAATTTTAGGGAACGTAGCTGCAAATATGATGCAAATACGTTGGTGTCACCAAAGTTTCAGTGAAAGAATAGCAGGGGAGAAAATGTGTTTGATTAAATAAATGAAAGTGGAATAGACTGCTGGAAAAAGCCTGAAGTTCCATTAATCTAAATTGATGATTGTGGTCTCTCTAAAAATATATAACCATGGTGATGTAAGTGCAAGGTTGGTTGGTGGGAGGGGGATTTGTATACAATTGTAGGGAGTCTTGAGTTAAAAATGTGTCAGAGCTACATACCGTGCTGTGCCAAAGTGGTATGAGGTGTAGGAGTCTTGTGTAATTACTTTATTTACAGCAACTTAGGTTGATTCATGATTATCAGTACTTGTTGCGTTTTGAATGGAAGATGGAAACTCCGCCTGTATTCTTGTGTCTGTAATTATTGCTGTGCCCTTCAGAATGAGTACCTGCCGCTTGCACTTCTAAGAGTTCAGAGAACCCAGAGAGGTTATCCTGGATGTTTTGGGATGACTATATGGTAATATTGGAAATTTTTTTCATTATAGACCTTAAAGCGACAGAGCCAGTTGGCACTCTATTTCTTTAACACTATTTTAGCTCATGGAGATCTACGCAACAACAAACTAAACCAGCTTTCGGTCAATCTCTGGAACCTTGCTCAGAAACATGGCTTTGCTGACACCAAGACTATGGTAAGGAAAACAGATAATGCAGACAAATTTTAGTTCTTAAGATGTTTTTCAGCTCCTCATTTGGGAAAAGGTAGCGTTTTCTTGATCTGAATAAGCCTAATCTCTTTACAAGTTGCTCTCTTAAAAAAAAATTAAAAAAATTAAATGAGCTTAAAACAACTTATTTTTTAAATGCTTCTTAATGAATAAGCAGCTTTTCCTATTTCAAGTGGTCTGTATCTTTCTAGCACTTTTAAATGTATGTCACATGTTAAAGAACCTGGAAATGCTGGGAGCTCTAACTTCTTTTCAGTACAGAAAACTATCTTTATGAGAAATAGAGTTTATTTAGTGGAGGAACGGCATGGTGTAAGCTTGGAAAGTGGGCATTCCAGAGCCGTTAAGAAAGATATGCATGATAACAAGCTCTGGAGTAAGAAATGAAAGTGCTTTTGTAGCCAGTGATATTTAGGGAAAACCATGAAAGTGTCTATTAAAACACCTTCACATAGATTGAATGATGGCCTATGAAATGAGAAAAGACAAAGACACTAAAAATCTCAAAATAGCCTTCTTTTCATACCCAGGTGAAAACGCTAGAATACATCAAGAGGCGAAGCAAACAACCTGAAATGAGTCACTTCACAGACTTGGCCCTTCGGCTTCCTCTGCAGTCCAGGACCTGATGAATGCCTCTTTTCCAAGGAGCCATCTGTACAAGAGAGCATGTAGTCAAGGCCAAAAATCACTGATCTAGATTTTGACTGGAGGAGTTCAGTGTATTTTTATTTTACTTAGTGTGACAGATTTACTTGGACACAGATAAAATCAAAACTTCTGTGCAATAATTTAACCTGAATTTGTTTCCAGTTTTACCACTGTATTATTTTAAATGCTGATTTAGATTCAGTAAAGGGTATTTTGAACCTCTGTGATTGCAAAAGCCTTTCCAAATCTAGTCTGTTGTCATTTTAGCAACAAAGGAAGAAGATAATCTGCATGGATCAATACACAGCCTCCAAACTTCATCCCACTTGCAGAACAGTCTCTCTCCAGTGCAGAAAGCAGCATTTCAATAGAATAATCCCACTAAGTCCTCTTTCTGCTTTGGGATCCTGCCAACATTTATTTGGTCAGTTCCCGTAAATGAGAAAAATGGCCAGGGTGTTACTGTTCTAATTTCTGCAGTACATTTTCACAGACGTGTTTATGCTTTCATTTTAGCTCAATGGTGTTTTGCAAAATGGAAGGAATCTGTCTGCAGGAAGTGCTGTCTGCAAAGGAAAGTGGAAATGTATGCAAAGTACTCTATATTTACAAAGTACACTGTATCACTGAATAAAACAATTTGCAGTTCATCTGTTTGTTCTGGGGGAGTTTCTTTGCGTATACAAATTTATCACCTTACCCTTGTGGAATTTAGTTACATGTACTGTTATTACACCTAATAAATTTCACTCTCACCACTTCTGTCCCACGGTAAGGAACCATGTTGAGACCTTGCATCTATTGCTGCTTTTGCTTAGTGGTAAGTATTTTAATGAGTTAAATCTTCGTATGGATATTAAGATACATTTTTTTGCACATAAATTTTTATTTTGTTAAGGCTAAACAAATAATCAGTTTTGCTAGACTCATGTACTTAAGGAGTTAGCAAGCTGATAATAAATATCACCTAAATAATTAAACTGTTCTTGTTGCATGCTTTTCATGTCCTCAGTAGTTACTGAAGCAGAGCAGAGTATGTCTACAATATGTATTTTGTGTTAAGATTGTGAAGAACTGAACTGGGATCCTTTGCTCCTGGTACAGACTACACGTAAGCAGAGAAAAATTGCAGGAATACAAGATAATTATGAAGTGGTATCAACTTGATACAGAACCTTTGCAACTTTTAGTACATTTATTTTAATTATTTTGATTATACTGACTTTCCTTAAATAATTCTGTGTAAAGCGTGCACAGATACTGAAATGATAATACTGCACGTTACCATGTCCCACTTTAACGTAGCTTTCCTTCTTGCTGCAGCTGCACAAAACAACTCTCAACAGCACTTAGATGATTCTTCCTGTTGGGCTTGGAAGCAAAACCCATGAACTGGGTAAGTGGGATTAAACTCTGAGCTCTCTAAACTGCCAAGTGGGTCACACTAAGCAGCTGCGGTATGGCAGAAATTGCCCTCCGGGGGCAAATGTACTGCTCTAAACCCACTGTGGAGTTGTTCCAGATTCTGTAAAATGGAAACTCTCACAGCAGGCTGACAAAGGTCCCAACCGTTCTCTGCCCCATGCAGGCACCAGTTTTTGCCTGTTGTCTTTTGAGCACAGTTTCTTTATTGATGCAAGACCGCCACGAGAAACGATTTCAAATGTTTTACTACTGTTTTTATTAATGCAAAAATAGCTCAAGGACAGGCAGAAAGCTCTGGTTAGTTATCAGGAGCAAACTCCAAACATCTAGCTTAGAAGCTAACATAACCACTCTAATAAACTGCTTTTGGCTTACTTCCATGTTAGAGCAAAATTAATTTTAGTTAAAGCACTCTACTTATTATAGACCTCGTCTTTCTTCTGTGTATAGCAGCTACACAGGCCAGACCAAGTTTGACTGCTCAAAAAAAGCTTACAGTTTTTTCCCCCAGGTATGTGTCTTGTTTTTCAAACTACAATTTCACATGCACAATATTATCAAGAACAGGGTGCCAGGCCATCCGCAAAGCTATAGTGAAGCAACACACTGGTGTACATTATGCAATTCAAAGGGGGAGGGGGGAGAGTCCTTTATCCAAAGGCAAGGCTCGGACCAGTATCACGTTCAGCATCTTTGACAGTGGCAGTGCAAGACCAGTCACTACCCATCAAGACTGGCTCTGCAGCAGAAAGCTGTACATGCTGTCCCTCTCCCCCTAAATGAAGTCACTAGTTGACATTTTCTTACCTGTTCCTTTAACTTTTTTTTTTTTTTTCCCCCAGGCAAGTAGCTGAGGGCCTGACTTCAGCATTTGTCTTCCATCAGAAAACAGAACCTCCACTACCTGAATTTAAGTAAAGCTACAGTTGAAGCCAGTCACTGAGCTTTGAGAGCACTGGTGCAAAACAGACTCGCCCTGAGGTAGTGGTGGCTTTAAATGACACTTTAAAGAGACGGTTTCCTCAAAGACAAGTTCAGACCCTGCAGGAAGTGGTTCAGCATCCCCTCTTCCCAGGTATGGGAATGGATTCGTGGCAATCCCTTAAGGCGGAGCCTCTGCATAATTTTTACTTCCCCTCAGGAGTTGTCCAAAATGCATTGGAACCAACTGCTGTTTTCTTAAGTGTATTTTCTGCTGGAGGCAGCTGCTTTCAGGTAGAGCAGTCCACTGGAAAAGACTTGTGGGAAGCAAGGTTGCCTTAAAAGAGCAAGAAATGCAGTAGATCAGTTGGCATGAGCTTATCAAAAAGGATAGGTAATTTGGCAGAAAAACAATAAGCTGGGTAAGTAGAGATACTAACCTAATTCTGGGGGGTGGGGTTCTTGGCAAGTCAGCTACTATTACACTCCAGCAGGCATGGACATAAGAGATGGTCACCTTGTTCTGCTTACCCAACAAGCACATTATTGAAACTGCCTTGCTTTCTGTAATTTAGGAAGTCTAGATCCATATATTTGGTGCTGCTATCCGGAAAGCACGTACCTTCTTTCACAGGTAACAGCTGCTGCTTGAAAATCCAACTGCCAGAGCTTAGTTAAAATAGAGGATGTTCCATGCTATTCATTATTATAATGAAGATGCTAATATTTAAGAAATTACTGAGTTAAGTCTCCCCTCATAAAATTTGTAGGCATACCAGTAGTGTTTCTTCAAAGTAAAACGCCATCACTTTGTACCACTCGCCAAGTGTAAAAATGTGAAGATTTTACAGAACGCTAAAATCCTTTTGAATCACTAAGATGTAGGTAAATACAAGTTCATGAAATCAGCATTTAAAAAAAAATTACTAAGTTTCAACTTGTTGCAGGCGTTGCCCACATATGTTCAGCCTTTGAAGGAGGCTGTCTCTTGCCTTGTAGAAAACATGGTAAAGCTTTCAAAAACTTACTGTTTAGCTGAAGTGGGGGCCCAGCTCCACATAATCTGGCATATGCAGTTGAAAACTTGTACGAAAACCACCTCATAAATCAAATTTTCTTAAACATTTTGCATTTTATTTCAAGTAAAAAGATGTGGAAAGTGAAAAGAAATTTGCCTGTTGAATTTTCATTCTTTTTATTAAGTTTTAATCTTCAAATTTTATAGATCTAGTTGTATATTTGTCTATATAGACTTTTTTGTTGGCAGCAGGTTGAAATCCAAGACCAATTCCTCTATGTTGCTTCAAGTCCATTGCTTTATCGAATTCCATCTTCAGAGCCTGCTGTAACTTCTCCTGCCCTTCCCTGTTCAGAGCCATGTTCGGTTTGTTTGTAGTCGCTGAGGGATTTTGGATAGGCACAGAGCCCTTTTTAAAGCCACCCATCAATCTAAAAAACTTCATTTCTTCCTCAGAACTTCGAAAAGCAGCTGTGCTCCACTGGCCAAACTTTGTATCCTGTGAAGCAAAACACGGTTAACACTAAAATGAAATAATACCAAGACCAAGGAAGACAATTTCTGGCTGTGTACTGTGCGAACAGAACCAGCTACAAGAACCTGGCAGGGCTGACAAAGCTGGGAAGCAGTCATTCCATGGGCTGTACCTCTCAAAGGACATGAGAAAAGAACGGCATAACCCTGCATGAGTGTGTCTTCATTAGCATTTCAATTCATTTAACCTGGAGAGAGGGTTAATGCACTTTCAGAACCTCTTCCTCTGTCTTGAGGAATCTTGACTTTTCTTCTCTAGAGATAATATTTCCCTAGCTCAAAGAGCCCGACATTGCCCAATCATTTCTCTTATTCTAAGACAACTGTCAGACTTAATCCTCTTTCACTCTGTCACTTTGTACTGTTACCATTTTCATTTTCCTGCTGCCTAGTTAAATAGCTGCTGTTTTCAGCAGTGTTTTGTTATGTTAGTTTTGGAGACAGCGTTCAATCTCGCTCACATGCTTTAAGTAATGCTTGCATTCTCATCCCACTAATTACCACCAATATTGCAAGGGTGCAAAAACTGAGGGCATACCCTTATCCAACAGGTCTAAATATAGTACTCTTAAAGCCTCCCTCCCTCGCAGTTTGCCATTCCTTAACTCTGCCTTTCACTGTATTCTTTGAACTAGTTCACTCCAGGATTTTTGTCTGCAGATACTGGCTCCTTTCTGAGAACATAAGTAACGTCCAAGTAAAATCAGAATTCAGCTGTTTGCAGATAAACCAAGATACATCATATGATTCACAAAGTTTATGAACTTTTGGCTTACCTAAGAACACGCTTCATTATCTATGGATCTTATTTGATTCCTGAGCTACAGCTAGGATCTGTGCAGTCATTTGTACCTATTTTTGGCAGGACTTTTACTCCCAATTTTTTCTTTAAAATGGGGGGTGATATTAAATGGAAGAATGTTTGATCATTAATTAAATACACTGAGCTGGCTACATCAAAGGAAAAAAACATGAATTTAGTGGCGTGTTTATGTAAGCCTGAAATCCTTCCAAATGAACAGTTGTAGTTTGCATGAAACATTCATCCTCCACTAGACAGCCAACATGACACACAGCGTGCTACGCAATATTGTGGGCAAGCTGTAGCAGTTTTTTTTAAGTTAAAAAAATGCAAGGCTGGAGTATCATTCACTATCACAGGCCAGAATACCTGCCGTTAAAAGAAAGCTATCCATAGTACTTTAATATTTTTACCTTGCTCAAAGATAAGTTGCTGTATAAACCCAGGTCTGTGACACAGATGCATGCACACGTACGCACATATGTATGTCCCCCCTTTGGAATGGGAGACGTGCACAGATGCAAAAATAATTACAGCTTGTCAAAACCCGTAATTTTTTTAAGTTAACTGCTGGCAGGCACTACACGTAACTTTTGATGCAGCATTTCCAGCTCAGTCTTTGTGAAGCTGATGAATTAGTTTTTATAGCTTCTGTTCTGCATACTACTAAACAGAGACAGATCAGCACCAAAGAACAGAGATCCCCTGCCAAGGATGTCATTTTTCTAAAGGACTCCAGAGACTATTAGATAGTTGCAGTTCCAGAGCTACTGCAGTCTGCCTCCTACTATGTAAAAACCTACAGGAGTTGATTCTGGCATTTGTTTGAGGTATATTCCAACTTTCTAGGCATCTGGCAGTCTTGCGAAACAACTAAGAATCCTGAATTACTAGCAAAGCTTTCTCTCCTCCTCAGTCTTATTACCCCTGCTAAACACTCTGCCGCAGTCTCCGCTATCTCACTGTAAACCTGTCGGGGACAGGCTGAGGAGGATGCAAAACCAAAAGAATAAAGAATCATCTTTCAAAGAGGTGGAGGAAAGACATAGAAGTTAGGAGAGGACCGACTGTAAATATCACACACGTGCATTATCAGTTGTCATCCCCTTCTACCTTTCCATGTGCACCCCTGTTTCCAAATGTCGGCAGTCTTCCAGATAATAATTCAGATACAATTCAGTGACTGCTATATGCATAGCCTAGGATTATTTACATTAAGCAAAAAATGTTTCTGCAGCAATTGGTCATGGCTCATTCTGCAGAGGAACCAGAGAAAAGGTTGCTTTTGAGGACTGATGATGGGAGTCTGTGAAATGCTAACTGCTGTTGGAGTTTACTGGTCAGCTCCCAGACTCTTTTGGGATTGTACTAACTTGTTCTATAGCATGACCTTAAATTTACAGCCAGAAGGAAGACTGTTCTGCCAAGCCACGTACCTGAGCCACATACAAAAAGGAGTGCAGTGCTTTTTTCAGGGACTTGCTCTGGGACACAATATTTCCATCAGATCAAGGTCTAAGTTCATACATACCTGTTCCACTTTGGGACTGAAAACCTTAGTTTTGCCAGATGCTCTATCAATTTCTTCTTGCAGAGCCTGCCTCCTCACCTAGCATGCAGAAAAAACAGCAGTGTTAAATTAAATTAATTTAATTCATAATGAAAAGTTAAGGGAAGAATAAAATTGTTATCTTCAGAATTTTGCAAGGATAATTAATAAGTTGCATGTAATCCTTTTACACACTCAACAGGAGAACTGTGATTTTTCTAGTGTTATTTTAAATCAACATTTTGCTGTATCAGATACTTTTAATCTTCTAACTGCAGGTAACACCAACACTGAAACTGCCAACATTGACAAGAGGCAAAGAAACCTGCATTTAACCTAATAAGCTACTTCGAAGCTTCTGACATTGACTGGAGCTGTACGTTTTGGACTTAATCCATGGAAAGTAAAGCATGTTTGAATCGGAGCGCTCTTTAGGGAAATCTTGGCATAGACAAGCAACAAAGCAGGTTTTTTTGTTAGAAATCCTATGCATGCATTAAATGCTGACTTGCTTTAAATCTTAAACAATTAAGACAAAGCATACCTTGTCTATGTTAATTTCATCACAGTTTCCTTTTTTTTCCTGCACAATAGTTACATCATCCACATCTTCCTGTAAAACAGGAAAAAGCTTCTATGAATATTTTTATCCATTCTGGTTAATTAGAATTTACACAGCTCTGATCATGAAAGTAGTAAAAACGCTAAACAATACAGTAGTACTATTCTGGGGCAAGAAGAAATAGTCAGATCTAAGCTGGAAATGCCAATTACAGAATCACAGAATGGTCAGGGTTGGAAGAGACCTCTGGAGATCATCTAGTCCAACCCCCAAATTAAACCTGTGTATTTCTATGGAGAGACTTCCTCCCCAAGGAAGAGATCCTTTTTTAACAAAGAGCGTAAGAGATTTTTTTTAAATTCACACATTAAAATGGACTTACCAACATCACTGGCACATATAGTAATGTTTGCAGATACGGTCATTTCCAATTAAACTGTTTTAGAAAAGATTAAATTTATACTTGAAATAAGGGACAGAAAGAGTGAAACTGAAAAAACTGGTGGTAAGATAATGGCCCCTCTGAAGGCACAGGACAAGCTTGAGGCACGTTGATACCACTAGCCCCTTGAAAAATAAAACAAAACAAAACAAACTCCCAAAAAACCTAAACAATTGAGAGGCAGCTGCACTGTGTTCTGTCTTTTATAAATGCAGAGTAGATGATGGTCCCCAAGGAGCTTCCAGTCTGGAAAGAGCACAGGGAGAGGTGTGACACATACATAATGTGTCTCCTACAATGGCAGTAAACAGCACATTAGTTCCACGCTGGAGAGTAAGGAATTCTGCAATGTGATGTGAAGAGACAGAGCACCTCTGGCAGGACTGGACGGGCAGGAGGTACATCAGTGGCAGTGTCCACAAGCAGCCAGATACTGATAACTCTTCCACAAAGTGCAGCCCTTCAGAGGCTTGTGCTCCCATTGACTGGCGTTTCTAGATCATTGCCCTCAGCCTTTCTTTTCCAAATTTGTAATAAGGATAAGATTTTAGGGCATCCAGTGTAACAGGATAAGTAGTAAGTCCGGGATAGTGGTAAATTACAGCCATAAGCTTTAGACCAGTCTGGAAAAGGTGGCCCAAGTGAAGATCGATCGATATAGCTAACATAACACTCCAAGCGTGAAACAGCCAGGGAACACCAAGACAAGGAAAAGATTTGTAACATACTTCTGTCAGCAGAAGCTGCTGTTACTTTTTTGAGGGTTTACAGTTTTATTTAAAGCCATGAATAATTTACCTCGTTTTCCAAAGCTACCTTTTATACATTGATTTCACACACACACAAAGTACATGCACCATTAAAAATGTGAGAACACTCTGCAATAAGGACAGCTCACTCTCTTGGATGATAAGAAAAAAACAAAAACTAAAACCAAACCCCAATTTACTTCTAGATGGCCTGGTACTGTCTTTTCAGATCTCCTAAAACGAGCAGGAGAACTGTTGTGACAGGATTCTGCGAACAGCTGCAACATTTATTATTTTTTTTTAGCTGGAAGGTCAAGTGGCAGACAAGGAAGGAGGAAGGGGGTACACCCCCATCCCTGCTGGTTCACAGCACGTCACTGACCTGCCGATGGCTACTGTGTGGCAAAAATTACCCCTCTCTGGAGGTGTGCTAATCTTTCACCAGCTTCATGGAGGGCGAGCACATTCACAGACGGCAGGAGTATGCTATCCACAGGCAAACAACTTCAAAGAAGTAAACAGTCCTCACTCCACTCAAGTTGACTGCAATGGCATCCAATGGGGAAAATACCAATTGTCTATATTAAGTGGGTATCACTCCACATTGTCTTTAAAAACTTACTCTTTTGCTTGCTGCACAAGCCCAACAGAGAATTTTTCAGGGCGTGCATCAGTGCGTGTGACACACTATAGACTAGAAAATAGTTCAGGACGATGGCACAGTAAAATGCAAGAGCAACATTATCAGCCATTTATTACAGCAGTGTCTTTTGGCCTGGCAGGAACTAGATTTCTCTAGAACTGCTTTACCCAAACTTCTCAGTCTTCGGGAGAATGTCTCTGAAGTAGTTTTTATTATTAAAGGACAGAGCTGAACACAGGGAAGAACAAAACATGCATCATCCTACACCCTTCTCTTCAACTGTTTGCAAGGTATTTGCTGTGTCTTCCATTGTAATTGGTCACCACACCATCATGCAAGTTTACTTGTCATTGTGAGGCTTATCTTGTCCCCACAGAACGTGAGCAGCTGCGAGAATCCAAATAATGCCTAACCGTCTCAAAAAGACAATGTCAATTTAATTAGAAAATATATCCCAGCCACTTTGTCCTTTGAAAGGTCAAAAGGAGAAACCTAAGTAAAAAGCCCCAAACATTTGCTCACCTAGTGACTGATAAGCATACACACTCCCAACACAAACCTTTGTGGAAAAAGCCTGTGTCTGGGTCTCCATGATGGCTGAAGAACCTGCTTTTATAAATCTATATTTAATTATTAGTACTAGACCCCAGAAAGCTGCCAGATTTCCACAGAACGTGAAGAAACTGCATAGGTGAGTGCATAACAAAGCAAAACACGCCATGAAGTGTGCTTGAGAGGCAACTAGTTCTATGGCCCGCTCTGTCCCTAGTTTACGAAAATCTCCAATGATGCTTTATTAACTAGTGCTTGATGTTGAAACAAGCCAAGCATTCAAAGTTCTTGGTAACAACTGGAGTGTAATTTCCCATTACCTATGAAAATCAACACAAGCTCCTAATGACTTGCAATGAGCTGTTTTCAAAGTTGCTGAAGCGCCTAAAAATAGAGATAGACGCCTATTGAATTCCTGAGCATCTCGCAGTTTAATTCCCAATGACAACAGAGGTTAGGCATGTAGGTACTAACTTCAAGCACTTAAAATAGCTTTAAAATGTGACCCTAATCAGATTAAAAAAGAAGAAGGTTTAAAAAAAATGTTAAAGCAATAAAACCAGATCTTAATAGTCTAATTAAAAAAAAAAGAAAAATCAAACAAGAAACCTCTGTATTTCAAATCTTTCATCAGTTCTTCTCCATGTTTGTTTCGCCTCAGAAATGGCCATCTGGCACGACTCTGGGATGGGATTTCCTTTAACAGTCAGTCTGGATACAATTCCAGTTACCTTCAGTTATAATTTATGCAGCTCATATCTATTTATTTTTTTGCATGGATTTATTTTTTTAATTAAGAATTTGTGTTTAGGTTATTCTTTAGTATTCTTCTAGCAGAATTTATACATTGATGCTTGAGGCCTAATCTACACTTAAGATTCTTAGATTTTCTCTAAGGTTTTGTCCAAGTTAGACAACAGGCTTTGGCTAAATTTCCCCCTTGTTTCTAAGACTATGCAATTTCAGGAGCAAAAGCCTGAGGAAAAGTCTAACAAACACAATTAGATGTGCTCATGCTGCCAATGTTACCAACCTGCTCAGGTTAAATGACATGGGATTAAAATCCTATTTTATAGGACTGTTGTGACTTTGCTAAGAGCAAGTTAAAGAGGAACAGAAGGACATTTATGACTGTACCTACTGTACATTTCTTTTTGTGCCAATACTTGCTGTTAGTTCTAAAATGTGATTTAGACATTTTACATTTTCGCAATTGAAACACTGGATGACTACAGCAGTAGGCATTAAAAAATTTCCCTGTGTTTCACAACTATTGTGTGCTGAAATCAGCAGATCAGCTGCTCCTGGTTCACAAAACCCAGCAGAGGCCCCAGTTGACCCAAATGTAACCTGAGGGACTGAACAGGCAGAACAGCCTGCAAAATAGGAAACTGCCTACCTGAAAAGCTTTCAGTTCCTTAGCAGGAGGGCGCAAAGATAGACTCTTCTTTGCCACTTACCATTGCCTTATTCCCTGTATCTTCTCCTTTGATCTTTTTCTTTTTTGTATTTGCTTTTGAATCTGGTTCTTCAGCAGAGTCCTGTGGTACTTCTTTTTTTCTTTTGTTCCTTTTTTTCTCACAGAGCATATGATTACTTGTGCATAATACCCTATCTACAACATCCCCTGTGACACATTCAGCTCGCTTCATTTCACTCTCTTTGTTCTTTTTATTGCTTTCTAGTAGCGTTATTTTTTGGCTTTTAGATGTACTGTCATTGCTTAAAGAAAATTTTGGATATGTTGTTTCCTCCTCCTCTTTCTGAATGTTCTTTCTCTTTTTCTTCTCAATTACTTCATTATTATCCATGATACTCTTCCTGCATTTTTTTCGAGAAAGCTCTTTGTCTTCAGACTTACCTTCTTGCTGTGCAGGCAGATGTTTATCAGGAGCTCTGTGACTGGAGTCCTGATCATCTTCACGTGTTAAGGAAGAAACATCTTTGCATCTCTTCTTTTTCCTCTTGGTCTCTCTGATGTTTCCGGAGTTCTCAGTAGTGTCCTCTTCCTCCCTGTTTGTGAATGCAGTTTCCTGGAAATTTTTTCTTTGCCTTTTACTGAAGTCAGTCAATGGAATGGGGCTATCAGGAACTCCACAGATGTTGTCCTGAGTATCTGCTAGTGGTAAAAAGGAGTTGGACTTATCTTTCTTTTTCTTCCTCTTCTTTCTTCTCACATAACTCTCCCCATCATTCTGGATAATATCTGTTCTTTGGTTGTCACCAGTAAAAGCTTTTTCTTGTGAAATATATTTGTGTCGTTTTTTATGAACTTTTTCAGACTGTTTATGTTCACTGTCCTGGATGTCCTCCAACGAAAAAGAAAAATTGTCTTTCTTCTTTTTTTTCTTTACTTCCTTCTTTTTTTTAGTTACTTCATCATCCAATTCCAAATTCAAAGCAGTATTTTTTCTGGGTTTTTTACAAGCAGATTCATTTTTCTTAGTACCATCTGCACGATGATTTGAAAGCTCTGCATCACTACTCTCATTATTCTCCAATAATGAGGAGGAATGACATTGAACTTTTTTCTTCTTCTTTTTGAGAATTTTAATTTCTTCCTCTGATTCTTCTTGAGGTTCTGAATCCAGATGGCCGCCTACATTCGCAAAGCTTTCTGAATGGGCTTCTTCCAGTAATTCAGAGTCAACTTTCTTTTTCTTGTTTTTCTTCTTCTTCTTCTTCAATTCTAATTTGTCTAAACAGTCATCATCTTCTTTTAAATTTTCCTTTTTCTTTACCTTTGTTTTTGTCTCAAGCTGGCCGTCATCCTCAGTTTTAATGACAGTTTGAACATCTTCCTCAATTTTAATGATAGTATGGCTCCTACCACTTTTCACCTTTTTCTTTTCCCGTATATGTTCCGCATGAACTTCTTGTCTCTTTTTCTTTATTATCATTCTAAAAAACAAAATTAAGATGTTAGTGCACCGCTTCAACAAGATGACGCAAGTCCTAGCCTGTTTGGTCTTTTTTTATTCTGAAACCATTCTGTATCTTGCATTGTCCCTGGCACCCTTTTTCGGATTTCACAATCTGCTCTCTGCGATGGGAGGGACCCAGAACTGCATTCAGCACTGAAAATGTCATCTACTGGAGTGGTGAAGGGGTGATTTTTTTGTCTTGTTCTTTATTGCTGTCCTGGTTAGTAACTTTCTATTTGTCTTTTTGGCAGATGCTGAGCATGCCATTTTCACAGAAATAGTACCCTCTTTCCTAAACGACAAGACACACACATCTATATACATTGGAACGTATATTTAAGGTGGTTTTCCATGTATGTATGACTTTTCACTTATTTAACACTGAACTTGACTTTACTGCCCACTTAGCATTACAAGATCCTTTTAAAGCATCTGAGTCACTCCCTTGAATTTTGTTCTGTTTGCCACTTCTCGCCCTTGCGATCCCTTTCCTTTCTGGGACGTTTGTGCCTACGAGCAGGTGACAGTGGAGGCGCCTCTGGGACCCGCCTGGTGACACTCTCTGCCTTTGCCCAGAAACCGATTTATTCCTACTTGGTTTCCCACCTGTTAATCCATAACTAATCCACAGGATTTCCTTCAGTACCTCTTGTGAGACACCCTGTTAAAGCCCTTTAAAAAAGTTCGAGTGTGCCACAGCGTACATGTATCCGTTACCCGCCGCCGGCAG